TGCCTGGGGCTCAGGGCCGGGGCGGGCGCATATCTCCCAGCTCTGGGTCCCTGCAGTTTGTGTCATGTTTGATGTGTAACTAACCCAACTCGGCCTCAGGTTTGCGGTACAGCAAGTGGAGGAAAGCTTTGCTGTGTTGCCCGTGACATAAAGTATTTTTAAGTTTAATGAACTCATTGTAGGATTATTCTTTTTTAGAACCACGGGCAAGGAGCCTGTAAGGCTCACTGTTCTGCAGCTGGCGCTGTGATTTCCTTCTCCTCGACAGGCTCTCTCCACTCTTCCTCCAACCCGGAGACCTGCTATGGCTCTCTCCTCTATTACAGAGTTAAGACTGTCTGGGGAATACTAGTTAATTGCTGAGCAGCTAATCAGAATCGTAAAGGTCAGTGATAACAGGCAAAGCTTACTCATGTTCACAAACAGCAGGATGTGACAAAAGCAATTTACCTTGAGAAATCTACTGAGCTTATGCTGTCTCGCTCGGGCCCTGTCTGTCCATCTTCATCTGCCCCTTTCAGTTTCTGCTTCTGCCCCCTCTTTGGGTCTTGCTTCTAGGTATTCCATGTTGCTGTTTGGTCCCCTTTGAAGGGGTTCTGCATCCAGTTCTGGTTTGTGAGGTCTGTGCCACACCACCACCACTGTCCGACACCGGCCGTGTGTCCTACCATTCAACTCCATCCTGACACCATCCACCCCGAGAGAACGTCAGATTCCACAGGTTACGGGCTCAGTCCCGCAAGACTGCCCTCCGCTTCAGGTGCCAAGCAAAAGCCCAGGTTGTCACTCGTGCTTCTGACCCACATATAGATCAGAGGTTCCAGGCACCCCCTCCTCAGGTTCAATTAATGTGCTAGAATGGCTCCCATCAATCAGAAACATTTTACCTACTAGATTACCAGATTACCAGTTCTGGGCCTCCCTTGAGCTCCACTGTTTCCTTGTGAAGTCACATGGAACAGAACGCCTTCACCACTACTGCCTGTCCCACCGGTGGCCACGCTGACCGCTGTGCGGAGGTCAGGCTCCTTGTGCCCTGGAGGCCATGAGCCCTCCTGTTCCTAGGTGATACACACTTCCCGTGGCTGCTGCCATGTTTCATACTCCTCAGAAGCGGGGAGGGGGTCCCAGCCCCACCTTTCGCTCCAGGACCGAAGCAACTTTCTTAGTGGCTTGCATCCAACAGTCCCACAAGGAAACAGAGGACACAATTGAAAGGGGTTTTGGGGAGAGTTTGAAGGAGGGATTCTTTTCAAAGGTGTTATTAGTTATTAATAGTTCACAAAATATTTTTGCTGCCTTATTAGTAATACATAATGACAGTCACACGATCTTCTATATGTTGGGTATACAAATGAGATCATTACAGACTATTCAAGGCTTCCTTTTGAGACTTAGAATCAAATCCCGAACGCTTTACATGTCCTGTGACAGCGGTCCCCAGGCTTTTTGGCACCAGGGGCCGGTTTCGTGGAAGACAATTTTTCCACGGACCGGGGGAGGGGATGGTTTTGGGATGATTCCAGTGCATTGCATTTATTGTGTACTTTATTAATAATAATAATGTAATGATTATTACATTATAATATATAATGAAATAATTATGCAGTTCATTGTAATGCAGAATCAGTGGGAACCCTGAGCTTGTTTTCCTGCATGCCACTAGGTGGTCCCATCTGGGGGTGATGGGAGACAGTGACACCCGAAGTGTGTTGCTATGTCCAGTCTACTTCGTAATCTCGTTTTGGGTGCTGTCACTGCAGAAACCCTGCTTCGCAAAGATAGGATGCTGGAAATGGAAGCAGGCCTTTCAGGCCTTTTGTGGCAATCTCAGGATATCCTGCCTTGACTTTAATCCAGAACGTATGGAGATTTGAAATTGTCTCAGACATACTTTTAAGGACACTGTCACTTGCGATCTCAAGCAGTTGATTCTCTTCTAGCAGGGACAAAGTCGGTTCACCTGCTTATTCACAACTGGGTCGCGGATCCATTCCTTCCCAGTTCGGGGGTCTTCTGTGGTTGGGAAGTAATGCTCAAACTCTTTTGAAAGCTGAGATAGGTGATCATGCACCAGCCGAGAGAAAGAAGGCCCTGGCTCAGTCTCTTTCAAAATCTCTGCTGATGTTTGAAACATGTCAGAGATCCCAGTGTTCACTAGTTGCCCCCATAATTCCAGTTTGGCTTTGAATGCAACCACTCTATCTGCCGACTTGGACACAGTTGTTATTCTCCCCTGAAGTGACATACTGAGTTCGTTGAGCAGGTTGAATATGTCACACAAGTAAGCAAGTTTTGCGACCCATTCTGTGTTACTGAAATGTGCTGCCAGTGGTGACTGTTTTTCTAAAAGAAATCTCTGGCGTGGCTCTCATAACTCAGAAACTCTGGTCAGTGATTCCCCTTTAGAAAGCCTACTCACTCCTGTGTATAAGAGAAGACGTGTGTGCTCTGCCTCCATCTCCTCACAGAGCTGCACGAACAGACGTGAGTTAAAGGCATGTACTTTAATGTGGTTGATAATTTTAATCACATCCTGCAAAACGTTATTAAGTTCAGGTGACATTTTTCTGCTAGCCAGCATTTCTCTATGTATGACACAGAGCGTAGGCTCCATTCAGAAGCGACCCCTCTGACCCGAGTAGTGAAACCAGGAAGCCGTCCAGTCATGGCAGCCACTCTGTCTGTGCATATACTGACACAAAATAACCAATTCAGTTTTCCTGATATGTAATCATTCAAAGACTTGAATAGTGCTGCAGCTGTGGTGTTGGTTGGCAACAAAAGTGCACGTAACATATCCTCATGCACATCCTCCTGAAAAATATAGCGTACAAAAACAAGCATTGTTGCCTTGTTGTCAACACCGGCAGACTTGTCAACCTGGATTGCATACCACGGTGACTCATTAATCCTGTCTAACAATTGTGCCTCAGTATCCTCTGCTATTTCATCATTTCATCTAGTTATGATGGTAGCCGAAAGAGGAACACTTGCCACTTTTTGAACTGCAGCCTCTCCTAAAAGTTCATGACAAATGTCCTTAGCAGAAGGCAGGATCAACTCTTCACCAACAGTAAAGGGCTTTTTAGCTTTAGCAATGCAGTTAGCCACTAAGAACAATGCTCTCAGTGCAGACATATTTGATGAAGTGGTGGCCTTCAGTAATTGCTTCTGTTCTTCATGTTCACGTTTTTTTCTTTTGAAAAATTCCAGAAGCTTGTCTTTCATTGCAAGGTGCTTGGTCTCCATGTGGCAAAGTAATTTTCAAGGTTTTATGGTTTTGTCGGATAGCCAGTCACCACATACTATACAAAGCGGGATTGGAGAATGTGGATCACCTGTTGCAATGAACCTGTAATTTAAGTAGGACTCATGATATTTTCTTTTAAATGCAGCTTTCTTTGGGTTGGCAGTCTTAGAGTCTTCTGCTGTCTCATCATTTGGTCTTTCCCCCTTTTCAAAGAAGCTCTCCAGCGACGTTTGTTTTTTACTTATTTTGGCTAGGGTTAGCTTGTGGGCTTACCAAAACTGTGACTGAGATAAGTGCGTAGTGTGGGAAAGAGGTGCGGACAGAAGTGGTAAATAAAATAATGGGTGGGCCACGTGCAGACTAAAATAAGTGTTGGATTCCGACTTAAAGCCTGCCACCAGATGCAACTTGTCACTTGCCACTCACTGATAGGGTTTTGATATGAGTCTGCAAGCAACTGATTTATTATGGTCTCTGCACAGTCAGACCTCTCTGCTGATGATGATCTGTGTGTTTGCAGCGCTAGCATCACCACCTCTGCTTCACCTCAGGTCATCAGGCATTAGATTCTCATAAGGAGCGGGCAGCCTAGATCCCTCACGTGCGCAGTTCACAGTAGGGTCCGAGTTCCTATGAGACTCTAATGCCGCTGCTGACCTGACAGGAGGTGGACCTCTGGCGGTAATGCAAGCAGTGGGGAGAGGCTGTAAATACAGATGGAGCTTCACTCGCCTGCCCGCTGCTTACCTCCTGCTGTGCGGCTGGGTTCCTTACAGGCCATGGACTGGTACCAGTCTGTGGCCCGGGGGTTGGGGACCCCTGGCCTATAGGCCTCCAACCCCTCCCTACCTACCCAGCCCGATATTTAGACTCTCCCCAACCCCTAAACTCTTCATTTTGTTTTGCAAGTGGGCCAAACAGTTTTCCTCCTCAGGGTCTTTGCTCATGTTCATCTCTGCCTATAACACACTTCCTCTCTCTTCCCTTCCCTCTAATGGTTAAGTCTTGGCTCAGCTTGCAGTGTCATTTTCACAGAGCACTGCTATGCACTCATAACAGCGTCTATGTTTTCTTCAAAGAACCATGGCAAACAAAATAAGGCAACAGAGGAGCATTTCACAGACCTTTCATGACAGTGATCAGTTTAACTCCGGCATGTGAGGTTGGGTGGGAGGGTTTATTTATATAATCTGTGATTGCTTAATACCCATCTCCCCACCACATGACTACAAGGATCACATGTACTGATGCTTCCCCAAGCCTAGCACATAAGAGACTAACTACCCACTATATGCCAGGGGCCTTACTTATGTTGTGTGGGTTACTTCAGTCCTCATCACAATTCTATAGGCAGAAGTTAGCAATCTATAGTCCACGAGCCAAATCCAGCATATCAGCAGTTTTCGTCAGTGAGGCGTTATTAGAACATAGCAATGCCAATTTGTTTCTGTATTGTGTATGGCAGCTTTTGGGCTGGGAAGGCAAAATGGAGTAGTTACAGGAGAGACTTGTCTGCAAAGCCGAAAAGAATTACTCTCTGGCCTTTTAAAGAAAAGGTCTGCTGACTCTTGCTATATATAAGGTAACACAGAATCTCCGTTTCACAGGTGGGAAAACTGAAGATCAACTATCTTGTAGCTAGACTTCAAGTGGCAGAACTGAGATTCAAAGTCACCACACTCCCTTTTATCATCTTTCCCCAGAAACCAGATCTCCTTGCTGACATATGTTTAGCAAATTTCCACAGGGGAGGTGACATTTGGTCTAGGCCTTAAAGGAAAAGTTGGAATTCTGCAGTGGCCAGGAGAGGCCAAAACATTCCACGCTGAGACACAGAGGTATGAGGGAGCTTGGTGTGTTTAGGAGATAGCTAGTCAGACTGACCAAAACATGGTGCTGGTAATTGTGGGGATGGTGGGCAGAAATTGACAGGGAAAGAGGCTACTAGAATGAGAGAAAACCGTGCCAGACCAGGGAGCCTGAACTTTAGCTTCCGAATTGTGCTTTCTGCTTGTACATCTTCTCTCTCAGTAAAATAACTTGAGCATTTGTTCTAACTATATTTTCCATAAATTATCTGCATGTAACACTGTATTAGTACTATACTGTATACATTATAGTATGTACAAATATAGAAATTTAAAAAGATAGACTGAAGGTAAAATTTATATTTAAATACATTTTATTTTAGTTTATTAATGTCTTACAATACCTTTTGGCTGCCTTATAATGATGATGATGCTCAATGAGAGTGATGTTAATGAATATGCTTAATTATATTTGAAAATCTTGGCTTAACACTGATACAGCTGTTTGAAGCTATTATTTCAAGATTAGTTTTCTTTAATTTGGGGTTTTAATGGTATCACAGCCAAAAATGATAACTCACAAAGATACATGGATTCAAGTGAAAGATATACATTGTTGGTTTCACTTACAAATTATGATAATTATTTTTCAAAACTATCCACCAATTATGCAAAAGTTTTTGTTTTAATTTGTGTGCTATGTTTGCACCTTCCCTGCTGTCAATTGCTTGTCAATATGCAAGTGAATTTGAAAGTGCTTTGTTTTCATATTTTGTACAATGTGTTTATAATGTGTTCAAGCCAGTAAAACTGTTCACCTGGAAATTTTTAAACAGGTTAGGAAATTGGAAGTTTAAGTCTCCAGATTTGGCAGTTTTTAAAGGTGATACGTATCATTTCCAGCAGCAAAAATCATATAATAAAGAAAATATTTCTAAACATTTTACTTTGAAATGCTCTCTCACAGGTTTCTTCAGGAAAGAAGTTATTCCCTATTGCCTTACACTGTCTCATTTATGTAGAAGGAAAAGATTTTGTGCTTATTTTTTGAAAAAAACTGTATCTCAGTGACAGGTCTGATTATCCCATTGTTGCATTCACCTCCTCTTGTGGTTGACTGAGAATTCAAACTGGAAATGGAAGAAATGTTTGTCTGGCTATTTTCTTGTTATTCATTGGCTTCATTAGCATTTTCTTTAATCCACAGCTTCTTTGAAAGATCTCTTTAAGCCGTTTATCCCTTTTGTAATGGTTGGTCTAGTTGAAGGTATTTCATATACCCTGTAAGTCCACTTAGCCTGAGATATGGACACTGAACTGTGTTGTATTGTGCTCGAGTAACCGAATGACTGAGGGCTCCACTGTCAAATCCTTGAGATCAATGCGTATCTTTTTTTTTTTTTTTTTTTGCGGTAGGCGGGCCTCTCACTGTTGTGGTCTCTCCCGTTGCGGAGCACAGGCTCCGGACGCGCAGGCTCAGCGGCCATGGCTCACGGGCCCAGCCGCTCCGCGGCATGTGGGATCTTCCCGGACTGGGGCACGAACCCGTGTCCCCTGCATTGGCAGGCAGACTCTCAACCACTGCGCCACCAGGGAAGCCCAATGCGTATCTTAAATATTAGAAATCCTTAGCTACTTTCTTATATTTTAGATATCTAAAAATAGAAGTTCTAACATTTTACTTCTGCACCCCAGTGGCTCATCTTGTTTATCCCCTGGGTGCACACACCTTATTTTGGAGACTGCTGCTCTAAGTACTGGAAAGCAAACCACAAGTTATTAAATGGGAGGGGGTGACATGATCAGGTTCAGTTTGTCTTTGGGATTATATTTTGTGGCTTTGTGTCTAGACACTTTAAATATTCCCCTAAGGTTTTTATTGTGTACATATTCAAATAAATAAGTTAACTGGTTTTAAATAATATTATCCAAACATCTTCAGAATAGCAACCACTCTGAGCCTTGTGAAGGCTTGTCTAGCCTCATCAGTATCTCAGTGCCCTCAGAAGTTCCCTGATAAGTCCAGGGGCTTTGCCCTTTACGTTGGAGAATAATGTGCTTTGGGTACAAAGAGACCACTAAGGTGACTTAAGCGCCTCTGTGTGGGAAGAAGAATAGTTGTGTTCTGCAAGAGTCATGGCAAATACTTTTTGTGACCCTATTAAAACTGAAGATTTAAGGAAGAATTATTAGCTCTGACTCCATATTAAAAAAAGAGGAAGAAGAATTTAAAAAAATGAGAAATGACTCTAGGTTAAGAGTTGCTTGAGGAGTTATGCCCTTTTTAAGCTTTAATGAAAAATTCTTGTGTTTTTTCTTTAAGCATATGAAGATAAAGAACCAACCACTGACCTTGAAACAAGGAGAGAAAAAAATGGAGTTGGTTCCTGAGAAATAGAAGTTGTCAAAACAATACCTACCTAGGCAAAATTTAATAGCCATTTTGGTTAAAAGTGCTGTGCTAGTTTATTTTGCAGGCCATGTTCACATACATAAGGGACTTCATCCCTTGTTACGCCTGCAGGTTTACTTTTGAGAGAAGAATTCTCATTATCTCTTTAGGAAATAATTATGTAAAAAGTCCATTGCTTCATTTTATAATTTTTCCAATTACAGTAATTGTGTGAGTTTAGATGACAAAATAAATTTAAAAATTTAAAGACTACTCTGTGCAACTGCAAATGGCTTACAGCATGGCATCCACATAGAACTATGCTTTCCAAATTCTTGAGTGGTTGGAAAATACATTTTATGTCTTGGGAAAAAGAAGATATAGATATACAAAATGTTAAACTGGAATCTTACCCAAGGTACCGAGATATGATCGATATCAGACACCAGAATGTTGTGAGACAGAGCATCTGTTTGGAATTTCAAAGTAGGTGCTTAAAACCTGGTTTTATGACTCTTCAATCTTTTACTCACTTTGCATATAGAAAAGTGTTGAGAAGGTTCATATTTGTGGACAGGGAATTTTTGTAAAGGAATTCTTTGGAGGAAGGTGCTGGTTGAGTTGTGAGCTTTGCCCCCTCTTCCGTCAAGGGCAAGCAAGGGTTAGAAGTTACCTGCCTCCTGCTTCTGGTCTTCAACAAGACTACCTGGAGATCCTGAAATGTGCGCCTGTAGTTAGCCAGGCACCATGGACAGGGATTTGCCTTCTGCGTGGGGAATCTAGAACATGAGGGATGAGCTGCCTAGCTGCCTTGGTGCTACAGGAATGAATTGTTTCTGATATACTAAGATTAGCCTATATCCCCTGAATTTGTTCAGGTAAAGGATTTGTGGGTATTTCCCATGAAAGGTATGAATCCTGCATGAGAGAGAGTCGATGATTGGAGGGGTGGTGGCACCCCAGCAGACAGAGTGAACTTTAGGTCACTGGTGGAGTCCCAGCAGCTGAAGGAGAAATCAGGTGACCAGCCAGACTGGAGATGCATTGTTTGAGTCAAAGAAGTGACCACAGAGGATGGCGATGCTTGAGAATCCCCAAGGAGCTCTCAAATGTGCCTCAAAAATAAGAGCTTTAGATAAGCCCAGAGAGTACGATGCTGTCTTGCAGTGTTACTAATCAAATGAAGCCTTTCTTCCTCCTTTCCCTCTTTTACCTCCCCCAGTATACCCATGGCAGGACAAGAAGAAGAGGATGAGGTTTTGGAAGTCTATGACAGGGACAGGAATGGAAAGCTAAGACAAGATGATCTGATTACCAAATTGAGCCTGTGTTTGTGACCCACGGTGCCTGGAGGCATTTTGTACTCTGACAGTGAACTGAAAAGTATGGTATTGCCCAGGGTTGCAGTGGGGGGAGTGGAAGGACTTTACTCCACTGAGTAAATTTTAATAGTATAGTGGGAGGCAAAAGTAAAGGCACTTGCTGATTACATCTCATGAGTCCTGCCTCGTCCACGTCCTAGTCACAGAGCCATCCCTTAACTCAGGGCCCCGAGAACAGAGGCAACAGGACATAGGGAGAGCACTGTTCTGGGGACCTGGAGGAAAGGCTGTCATGCAATGTTTCAGCCCCTTTCCCTTTCCTACTGGCTGCAGTGACTGGGGGCAGAGGGGGACTCTGCTGTGGAGTAAGCAGTGAGTGCTGTTTCCTTTGGTCTGCAAGGAGGGCTGTTTGGCAGCATCAGCTGGTCTCCTCATTAATGATCTGTTAAAGGGTTGATGGGCATTGTGCATCTGAGGCTTGGAAAGCAATGCAATATATATATACCCTCCCAGTTTTTATATATGTCTAATGCAAAGGTGATGATACTCTCAAGTATTATTGAGTATGTGATTTTTTTGCATAAGGAGGTGAGGAAACATGGTAAAAAGCACTGGAGTATTCAGGCGTGGGTTGTTTGTGATCAGGTAAAATCACAGTATCTTACCAGTTCAGGGTGGAAAAACTAGTGAGACCCCATTACTGCACAGGGATTAAGAGTGCAGGTTTTGGAGTCAGGCTGTTGGAGTTTGAATCCTAGAACCTCAGATAAGTCCAAACCTCTGTTTTCTCATGTGTGAAAGGAGTAAACTACTGGTCTCATGGCATTATTATAGAAATTAGAGATTATCCCCATAGAGTACTGCCTTAGTTCCTGGTACCTGATAAGTGTGCACTAATTGTCAGCTAAGATCATCATTGTTTTGCTAATCGATAGAGTTGATTCTCACCGTTGAAGGTAGTATGTTCTATAAAGTCACCACAAACACTGAATTAGCACATTGCTCCTAGGGGAAATAAAGGGTTAGGTTCCTGTGAGCCTCTGGTCACAGTATTTTCATAACTTTGTATTATATGTGCTTCTGTTTAAAGACACCTTATTTAATATATATTGTTGATTTGTTAACATTGAACTCATGGATAACAGCACTGAAACTCATACCTGAATGAAGATTATCTAACACACCTATTTTCTCTAGAGGGCACATTCTCGTGCTTAGGAACTCCAGACAGCACTTCAGCACTACACGTAGGGGTCATTCCAAATAGCAAAATCACCAACAAAAAGTACAAAACTGTGAAAAACATGACAACAAGGGGATGATACTCATTTATAGCATGAAAACTGAAATAAAAAGGCAGCTTGTTTGGCCTCAGCTGGGAACATGGAAATGGTGTAAAGCACCAGCAGTTCCGATCCATGAGAACA